CACGGCGCTGCCGGGAGTGTTGATGAACTCGGGGTCCAGGTGGAGGGCGCGGGGGGAGGGCCTGTTGGACAGCTGGCAGCTGCGGAGGGTCTTGAGACGAGCTTGAGGGGCGTGGCACTGCTTTGGGGAGATGTCCTGCGGGTGAGCCACAGGAGGTGGAGAGGCATGAATATCAATAGTCATGAACATTAATGTGAGAAAATGCAGAAGAGTGAAAACTAGCCTGCGTGGGTTTTCTACGGGTACTCAGGTTTCCTCCCATGTTCCAAAAAACATGCATGGCAGGTTAATTGCACGTGTCAAATTGTCCCTAGGTGTGATTGTGAGCGTGAAATGTTTGTCTATGTGTGCCCTGCGAGTGGCTGGCAAACAGTTCCCGGTGTGGATTGGTTCAGCAGTATTTTTAGCTGTGTTTTTATCAACAGATTTGACTGTAATTCTAATTGAATACACGAAAATAACGTAAACCAAGGACCACCTGTATATGTATCAGTCCATATATGCAGGTATGTGCTTTACCTTGAGGATGGAGTCAGCGCGTTTGGCTTTGGGAGGACTGCTCTCCGCAGCTGAGTCCGAGCACAACCGTTTGACCAACAAGGGGCTCCCGTCAGGTTCCCTCGAAGCGGGTTGGCCCTTAGCAGCTAACGGGGCAGTCGGGCTCCGCCCAATCTTCTCCTCAAAGGTCATCGAGCGTACGGCGCAACTGGTCGGCGGCGGTCTGGTCAGGGGGTTGGGCCTGAGAGACGACGGGTGCAAATAGACGGCGTACGGCCCGCTGCCCGGCCGCTGAGGCAAAATGACGGGGATGAGTGGGGAGCACTGGGCCGGGATGTATGCGACGCCGCCCGAGGGCCGGGAGGCCACCGGGGTGCCGTGCACATTTGGGTTCCCTGCAGCCTCTTCGTTTGGAGTGAGGCGTGATGCCGGCGGCGGCGCCACTGAGATGGCGGTTGGCGGGAGCCTCGCGACTGTTGCGTTTGCTTCGGTGGCAACCGTCTTCGGATCGCTGCCTCTGGCACTGGAACATTAAGCACAAAAGTGTTGAACGCCCATGCTACGTCGACATTACATTCCCTCCACCAAACTTACGCTGACTCCTGGTCAAGCTGAATCTTGCAAATAGCAGCAAGTTGAGCCATTTTGCTGGGGATATCACACTCATCTGAGGAGGGGAAAACACAGTTAACACAAAACACCATTGTTGTTACCTCAAAGTGAGAGAGAGAGTTAGAGAGAGAGCGAGTCTCACTTTTGGCAGGACTAGTGGGGGCTGAGCTGATCTTCCGCCGGTCATCCTGAATGCTCTTGGCCAGCTTCATGAGAGAGGGGTGTCGCGTGAAGCTTCGCTTGGCGCCAGGCGGTGATGAAAAGAGGTTTTTGGCACAGTTTTCGACAGAGGGGCGGCACTCCAGCACCTTTGTCTTACTGGGCGGACACATGGAGGTGCCGCTTGTCACATCTGAAACAGTCGAATGGTGAACAAATTGTGACACAGTCGTAAAGTATGTAACCTTGAGCGACACGGCGAGCATTGAACTAGTTTGCGGAAGAATACGTCATCACACACCAAGCTCAGTTATCAACATGCCGTGTTTCATTTGATTGTTTCACAGTGGCGTTTACTTGTTCGCTAGGAACGGGCCAATTTTTTTTCTTCATCCAAATATATCTGAAATTATGCCGCCCGAGGAACGGAACTCCACCGGATACTGAGGTCCTCCGTTCCCAATAATATTTAAAGTTGGACTGTGTTATATTTGAACGATTATGCTAGAAATGTATATATGCATGTATATTTGCATAAAATCGCCACACACACCAAAGATGAGCAATGAAGTTTCTTTATACCTTTCACTTGAGGGAGTCCATTTGGGCCCACCCATTTGAATGCCGGTTTCTTGCCCCTGTCTTCCGTTACGTGGACTTTTTCAATGAGTTTGAGGCTCCGCAGCACGTTAGCGATGTCGTAAAGTCGCCGCACTTTCGCTGTAAACGTAACGCAGACACATACTGGCTACTTAATGACCAATTCGCACATCTAGAATGCCGTCAACTGTGGGACAGTCACATGACACTCACTTTTGAATTTGTTCTTATCCTGATCAGCACTCGGGTCTTCTCCAATCAGGATTTTGGCAGCCACATCCAGGCTGACAACGGGTGGATTGGAAACCAGGAAGAGCATGACAAACTTCTGGCTCATCACTCTCAGGGATTTGTCCTTCCGACTATTAACAGAGGCTGGGCACAAAGGTCAACAGATTGTAGTCTTGTAAGAATTGGCAGAAATTAAAAAAAAAAAAAAAAAAAAATTGTGCTCGAATCTCACCTGCTTTGAACTCCACTCCAGGAAGCTCCACAAAAAAGAGCTCCTTTTGTCCGTGTTCGCTGCTCTCCGAGTGTATCAACTCCTGGTTCTCCTTCTCGTCGCCATCAAAGTCAAATTCTTGATCCGGGAAGCGCTGTCTGATCTGCTGCATCTGCTGGCAGTACCTTTGCTCCCCACCCACCTGCTTGAGTATGGCCAGAGTCTGGGCCAGATTGGTCCGACCGTGCCACGTGTAGCGGTTCTTTGCAGAACGGCTCACCATGTGCAGGCTTTCGAGCACGTTCATTATGTCATAAATGCGGCGGCGCTCCACATCTGTGCCAGGGGAAGAAAAAAAAAAAGTCAGAAACCATGACAGCTGCAAGTGGCAACGTAAAATGATAATATGTGTTCACTGGTCAGATATGAACACACATACTGAGTTCAGTGGCTACATCATCCAGGCAGATGTCATTGTTGCCAGCTGGGTCTGGCCAATCTGGACAGCGGGCGAGGAATTTATGGCACAGCAAACCCAGACTTTTTTCTTTTCTGCTTAACATTTTCTCAGACTCATCTCCATTTTCAACATCCTACAAGAGAATAACAGCAAACACATGAGAAGTAAGCACACGAATCTCTGTCAAAGAGTATGGTATACAATTTGGATAAGACAAAATTCTAGACCTGAGTAGAATCAAGAACTTCATGTAACTCGGGAGGCAGACACAGCTCCTTTTCCCGGTTCCTAATCTCCGGACTTGCAGCACTGATGAGGATTTTGAGGTTGGAAGTTGGCGTCCATGGATCAGGAGACCCCGCTTGGCTTGCTTTTTTAGGTGTTGTGAGCGGGCCCATGATGAACTGTGTGCACTTCTCACGGGGTTTTCAGATGACTTAACAAAGTCAGAGGGGCTATAAAGCCATCATACAACTTGGAATAAAAGAGAAAAGCAAATGTCATATTTTAATACAGCTTCAGTCATGCTTGCAGATATATGTCCTAAGCTGACTTTGGAATTCATATTTCAAGTGGCAAGCACCCCCACCCCCAAAAAATCAACTAGTATTTGATATTACACCAAAATAGCTCAATATTGACATAATTATTTGTAAAGGTGTAAACTAATCTTGACTGTATTAGAAAAGCACAGTCTATTACAGTAAAATAATTCTGTCTGATTTTAGAATATATGATGTGACTAACAGTGCAACATTGTCACATTAAAGGCCTCTAGTCTACGCATTGTCCTCACTATACTTACAGTAGAAATAAGAACAAAGGTGAGAGGAAAAATATGTAGATTGACCAACTTTATTTAACAAATGCAATCTACAATAACAAAAACAGAATAACATTTTGCATTTATAAACAAAGAACATAACGCTTCGTGATTAAAAAAACATTCAGTCAAAATCGATTTTAAAAAAATCAGTAGACTCAACACAAGCAGAAATAGTTTTACTTATAGTTTCACGGAATGCCGAACTGAAAAAAAAATATGACGCTTTATATCATTTAGCCATTAAACTGATCAATTATTTTACCTCATTTTTCTCAGCAAACCCAAAGGGTACATTCTTCCAAAAGTAAAAAAAAAAATGTTAAACACTAGTTTGAAGTTGGCTGTAAGCGACGTAGTATCCGTCGAATCAACTAGCTGCTCCCGCCCTTTTCGTCCAAACGAGCCAATGAGCGCGCGCCAAACAGGAAGTTAGCTGGGCGTCCCGCGCAGGTAAACATTTTTTGAAATCCTTGGCGCGGAATGAGTCTCCAGTGTGAACAGGCAGACACGTTTGCATTATTTCACCGAATATAACTCAAGCTGTTACCACATTGTCAAGACTGCGTCGTTGACATGATGGATGTTGCAGAAGACGATTGTCGTGCTCACGACGTCTAAGTCTGTCGTTTCCGAACGCGCGCTGACGTGTAGTTTTTGGCCCCCGCCATGAAACGAGTGAACCCCGCTTAATTTTAAAAAGCAAAGTGTCGTGTTATTACGTCGATTAGTATGCTGGTACAAATGCCCGGATAGCTGAAAAACAAACCAGCAAGTGGCGTATGTTCCATTACATAAAATGTAAAAAAACAAGTCGTACCAAATTGTACACCACCCTGGTCAGAAGAAAGTTCCCATGTTGGTCTTCGAATACTTGAGTATCAGTACTTCTGAGATAAATCCAAGGGTTTCAAAGACTATTTGTACATTTAAAAAAAGATGTACGGTAAATATGAACGATTGGATAAACCAAATGTGTTTAAGCTCTCAAATCAGCCCGCACCAGTCGGTCAAGTGTCTCAGAGAAATAAAGTTGAGTGAATGACTTGTTTGGCCCTGCCGGATCGCGCATGCGCAGTAACGAAAACTCACGCCCCTGTGAAGACAAGGGCGGGTTTCGAGGACCAATACTGAATACGTTTTTTCCCCATAAAACTTGAAAGTATTCTACTTCTTTATAATCGCTTGAATAATAATAATCTTTTGAACATTTTTTTATGGGCTGCATAAGACGAAGAACATAATTTAAAACGGAAATGATGCTCAAGATACCATTACGAAAAATGACCAGAGGGTGTCGCTGTGATCCAAGAAATACGACTGTCGGTCATAATACTGTATTAAGCATGTGAAAGGGAAAGACACCATCCAATGTATTAAAACCGTGAACAACCGAGGAAGCTGAGGTATAACTGCGATGGTCATGGATATTCCACTTAATTCGAAATATTTATGTTTTACCTACACATTGGTTCTTCAATAACAACAACGCTGCAAAGACATGCAAACTTGATGACACACTTCAGCCATCCAACTAATGACTGGCTCAGTTGTACTCTTTTAAGATATCCGTCTTCGCTGAAGCCAATTCTTCACTTACTGTTGTTTTTAGTACATTTCTAAATGTTAATAGATAGCAAATGTTGCTCACAACATACACTATAAGCTTGGGGTTTTATATTTCTAATCGTTTTTAGTTTAGGCAAATTAGTAAAAACCACAACCTTAATGCTAAATCAACATTCCCCAGGAAAATCAAAATCAGGAAGCCTGAGGTCAGCGCTGATTTTTTTTAAAACAAATATGAGGCACAACCAAGTCAAGGAACTGAAAAAGAAAGGTAAATATCAAAGTCAGCAGAGCCATAATCTCCAATCTGGGTGTGGTGTAGATTGTGTTGTCAACGTGCTCTTCTTTTCTTTTAGTATTCAGTCATTATTCAATTCAAAGGCACTAGTTTCCACATGGCAGTTTGCCTATTTTGCTTGTTCTACGTAGCCATCTTCCAGTGATGGCGCTTCACTGTTTGTTTCATCTGATCCCAGACCTCTGTACTTTTTATAGGCTTGGTATCCTGTGGAGTAAAATGCAAGAATTTTGAATCCGTCACCATCTTGACGTCTTTTCAATCAACTGACATTATCCACTGGGTCAATTCAAACTTGAAAGACGGAAGTTGTATAAGGTGCAATGAAAAGCACTCAAAAAGGCATCTGTTTTGTGAATCTCACGTTAACGGTCATTTTCCTTTGAATACAAGTTTTTCAATAAAATTATTTGTCGAATACCTAATTCCTTTCTCGACGTGAAGTGGAATTGCTTCGGCAATGTTACACGTTTGATTTATACAGCTTTTGATTACATATCGAATTGTCATGAACATTGAACATTGTCCATGGGCTCACTGCAGCTGAGTGGCCTCCCATATTCTCTGCGTATTTTATTATACAACTACAGAGCTGACTCAGCTGACTGATAGCATAATATAAATATGTCCCTTTGTCACACTCAGACAAATCACAGACAGATTCCCTTCAAGTCAGGGGATTAATCATGTGTCTAAGAAAGCAGCACTGCATCACAAAATTGCTAGCTTCCACATGGGCACCGTTTGTCGCTCACCTCCAACAAACAGGATAGACAGCGCTAGCTGAACGACGCTATAGATAACAGGGAAGGCATACATGAGCTCCAGTTCAGCTGGGCTGAAGGACAGCTGGATAATGGTGTTACACAATTGGCCGTTCTGAAAGCCAGTCTCCACAGCGATTGTTCGACACCTAACCTCTCAGAAAAACATTAATCACAACAAAAAGATAACAGAAACATTGTGTGTATGGCTCAGAGAACTAAAGATTTGGTGATGACACCAAATTATTATTTAGATTTACTAAAGCAGCAATTTGTCGTGTAGGCATGCTTTGAACAGGTTTGCATGTTGCTGTGGCAAAATTTTGCTAATGTTATGCCATCAACTGTCGCATTACCTGTACCATGGTTGACCGACCAAGCGAGCCAGAAGGAAACCCATCCCAAAACCCAAACAGGGGTAGATGATTCCGATTATCCAAATGGAAAGGTCAATGTCCCAGGAAGTCTGGTAAAGAACTCTCCCAACCACAATAATGATGATCATAGTACTAAAGCCTGTAATGGTCCCAATCTGGACAGAACGCATACAGTAAATATCTGTTTGTAGCAATTTTTTGGGCAAGAACAATGCACATTCCTACCTTGAGGATTTTTTTCGCCAAGTGGGGCCACCTATGTTGAATATACATTCCTCCCGTGATTGGGACAAGGATGGCCACAAGAGTGATACCTGTGGAAACCCAAATTCGATGTTTATAAAAGTGTCTCAATTTCTGGTGGACCAAAATACAACCTAAACCTGACATAGCATAAATGAGTGCATGAAATTAAGATAATCCCTTGTCTCATTTTGCGCACATTAAAAAAAAAAAAAACTCTAGAAAGTACTTTGTGTTTTGATATCCGTCTGCCAGCAATAAATATGGGTTGTATATTTACCAATGTTACCATATGGGATTTGGATCTTGTCTGAAGAAGTCCAGATGGAGGTATATATGAGCAGACTTAGTGGCATCATTCCCAAGGCCATTGTGGTGGAACAGGCTGTCATACTGATACTGAAGAGAAAGAAATTTACTGCTCCACACTTTTCTGATGACACTTTGCTTTAGAAGCCAAAAAGGGCAATTGTGATTCATTTTGGCCCAATCGTCGAAGATAATGGGCTCACATGTCTGCACATTGCCGTGCCGTTGATTCACACAACATCCCATCAACTCACTTTAGATTATCCAATGAACCAGACACTTCTTACCTTAAGTCCATATCTCCATCCAGAAAGTAGGAGATAATATTGGAAGCGGAGCCTCCAGGACAGCAACCGAGAATAATGATGACAAGCGCCTGAGCAGGCATCACATTGAAGGCAGCGGATAAAGCAAAGGCGATGAAAGGCATGATGCCAAATTGGCAAAGGAAACCAATAGCAATGCCCCAGGGTCTCTTCAGGTGCCCCCAAAGTTTTTGGACCTCCACAGCACATCCCATGGTAAACATAATCAAAGCCAGCATGAAGGTGAGCACAATGCTCAACGCAAGACTCAGTTTTGCATTAAAGTCACTCGTTGGAACAAGGCAGTTGACGCCGGAGCAGATTGTCGCCTCAGAGGGGCAGGAGGCAAATTCTGCAGTTCTTTCTATAAATATAGACATATTAGAAATTCGAGAATAATCCGGTTTGCCAACTTTGAAAGACTGGTTGCGTGTCCTCGTCAGCCTGTACTTTTTAGATTTTACTGGGTAGAATCTTTTACTGTTCATTTGGTTATCCAATAAGGTGATGGTGAGCATACAGTCCAGCCCACTGCTCTTTGTGCCTTGCGGCTACTGCCAAATCGTACTGGCAGGGAACCATTGTTATGTTTTATAGGGTCAATGTTCGCAACACCTGGCCTTGAAATAATAATTTGTAATATTTGAATGCGACATCATTTTTTAAAATGCTCTTTGGACCTTTCAAATTTTATGGACAGTCAAACTAATAAATCATTGTGTTGCTGAATTTAAAATAGACTATGCTTGTCCCCATTTAATTTTGAATTGCCCTTCACCTTTCTACATTTTGGACGCTAAGTGGCGGTAAAAGCCTGCCGACGTAGTGTCTCCATGGGAACGAAGGAGCGTCTTGAGAATGTCGAGAGAGACAAACGCAATACGTGACGTCATTTCGCACGCACGAGAGGAAATGTGTGGCCACTCTCATGAGTACTTTAGGGATGCATGGTAAATTAGCAGACTCACGTTGGCTGCAGACGTACCGTAGACGTATCCTCATGCATCGGATGAGAAACGGGTGGTTTTGTTTCGCCACAATATGCAATTTTCTCATTCTCACCACTGACTTTCAATCTGTATTCATTCCGTTGAAAAAATATAAATATATTAGTATTATTATTTGTAATTGTGACACACCCCACGCAGCTTCAGTTTAGACTCCAGCTCCCGAGCACAAGTGGATCAAAAAATTTATTGATGACTTCATTAAAGAAACAAAAAAAATCCAGCAATCGAACTAAAGAGACCGTCACAATCGTATATTAAGTGTGTGTACAAAATGTGAATCAAAGTTTTTGCAGCCCTGCCCACCCAAAATTTCCGATGGTACTTGAACGTATCAGTTGCTCCGTTCATAGACCAGAGGAAGGGACAGCATCAAGGGAAGCAGGAGACACCTTCTCCACGAGGGAACCAAACAAACCGAGAAGTTCGGGGTAAGAGTGATTTTTACGAGAAAAATATGATGTTGTCCAGCATTACTTTGTCTCCGTAATTTATACAATGTGTTTTTATTCCTCTAGCAGTTTCTAGAAAGCTCAGTTCAGACTATATGCGGCGCAGAATGTTCTGCAGGGATGCTGCAGTGTAGCTCTAACCTTTGACAGATAGGAATACTGCACTTAAATACCTGTTTTAATTTTCCCCTCCGTTTTTTTAAGGAGAAGGTTGTCACATGCCCCCCGCGCGTGAAATTTTTGAAAGATTGGACACGACAAAAGTCGTCAAAATAATTTTACATGCGTATGGGCAGGTGGAAACGTGTTTTACCTGAAGTGCTCAGGCACTTTCTCATTTAATATTCACTCCGAGTGGGCACTAATGAAAAATACGTGTAATTTGTATGGACATTATTAGGATGGAAGCCTACGCGTAGCACACCATGTGAAAATGTTATTAGTGCGAATAATGCAATCAGCAGTTTGGCAAAATCGGCCTGCCCTATCGTAAATGCTTTAGCTTTGGATGTTTTCTTTATGTTTCCTAAGATAGGAATCAAAATGGACGGATGCAAAAAAAGAATGACTAAAATTAATTTACATCGGGAAATGAAAGACCAGGAGGCTACCTATACTGATCCATTCATATATCAGCATGTTGATGTAGAAGGTACTATTCAACATTTAAATATTAGGTACAGTTGCCTCACCAGGTGACTTAAAAATCGAGTAACATAGTACGGATGCCAAAAATATATCAGGGCTTTTGGCCACAACACTGCAAGCAAGAATTTTTGCATTCCAGTATACTGCTAAAATTAATGGCAAGGCAACGTAGCTTTATTGATATAAGACGTGTCATTCACTAGGTAACTCAATGTGCTTCACATTTTAAAACAAATAAAGGACAATTTTAATGCATTTCCAAACAAAATAGATCTAAAAGCAAATTAAAGAAATATGAGCGGCATATTGCAATTACTAACAGAACATTCAGTGCAAGAGCATAATTTTGGAGAATGTCATTTAAAAAATGTGTTGAAAGATAATCATAGGTATAGGGAAAGAGCATCGTTTTTTACTGGGGTTTAAAATCACTTTTTACATTTCCGTGCAGCATAACAGGTAAATGCTGTGTCGCCATGTTTCCTTTGAATTAAGGGCTCCATTAATGGACCTGAGGAGGCAGACTTCAGAGCCCTACTGGGTTTATACTGCATCCTGTTAGCATTTCTTTAATGTAACCAGGATCATCACCATTCAGTGATTTATAGGCAAATAGCAAAATTTTAAAATCTAGTCTACAGGTGGGAGCCAGCGCAAAGCCTTTAGGACTGTCATAATATGCTGTGATCTCTTTATTCGCTGAATGAGCTGCAGCTGTTTGATGCTCTTTTGACGGAGTTCAGTTAGAAGACCATCACAATAATCAAGTCTACTGGAAATAAAAGTATGGATAAGCGTCTCCTATTTTGCTAGGAGATGCAACTACTGCATTTTTTTTTGAGCAAGTAAAAGGCTTTTTTAGTGATTGATTTGCTATGACTGCTGAAAGTCAGATCCGAATCAATCAGCATCCCAAGGTTTCCGATTTGGTTTTTGGTGTGAAAAATGGACCATGATTCTTTTTGTGACTCATTTCATTGAACCAGAAAAACAAAAACAAAACAAATCAAGTGGTTCATTGGAACTAATGGTAGACCCTTGATCAAGGTTGTGTTTAGTGATCTAATTGTTTTGCTTTGCCTATTTTCTTCCTCTCCACAAGCAGCCGTTCACGGACGGACACCAGATCTTTTCTTCGCTTTTGCCGTTCTTATTCATAAATACGCGGATGTCACTTGGAAGACCAAGCGGTGTGTGTAATCGGAGGCCTGCCCATGTGTTCCTCACTGGATGATGAACTGACTGTTGTCCAAAAGCAAGGATTATGATAATAATACCCTCCAAAATCTCCATGGCTGTGATGGTGGTTTTGGGAGCGAGGAGGACCCCGCTGGTATCTGATTTCCATGGTCTGCCGTGACGCTCACTTCAGGCCAGGCCAAAGACTGCAACGAGAAACCTTGGAAGAAACGCGATGAGTGTGTCACGGCTTGTGACTGAGGCGGGACCCTTTCTGAGATTGGCTGTCACCTGTTTGATGAAGCAAAGTTGATGGACAGACATTTTTTCCACTTTTTGGATAGATGCTCACGCCTCACCGCAACAAACCAAGCGGGGAAGCGGACTGAAATACTTGTAGTGGGTATTTCACTTCAATCCCTGTTATAATATTCCACTGTGCACCAGCGTGAATATTTGCCCACCTATGGGAAGATGGAGGCTGGGGCGGAGGTTTGTGCAAAACAGCAGCCCAGGAAGAGACCCGTCCAGCATGGCTTGGAGGACCAAAAAAGGGTGAGTTGTCCTTTCATACACTCAATTGTGGTATATCCCCCACATGCCCCCCCCCCCCAAAAAAAAATTCTGATTTTTGTGCGAAGTAGTGTGACTTACACACTGTGAATACCTCTGTAAAGAAATATCTTCGATTAGTTGAACATGAACCAGGAAGCTAAATGAGGAGAAAGACACATTCAAAGGCAAAGCGGCGGTGGAAGCATGAGGAATCTACGAGGTCGTCTTCTGGCGCTTTGTGGTTGTGTAGAATTACGCTGGCGGTCTGCCGCCAAGATGGGATGGAGCGGCTCCTTTTCTCCCTTCTAGCTTTACTCCGCATTTCCACATGCCGGGGTTCGACCCTTACTGCTGCTGCTAAACGTGATGTCCATTGTTCATGGTTTTCAAGTCAGACAAAATATTTCTCTGTAATTTGGATCATCTTTTTTTGCATTTACTGAATTTGATTTTGTCAAGTGATTTCACAAAATAAAATCATCTGGATCCAAAGACCGTCTTTAAATGTATACGATTTCTTTTTTCTAGCAGTTTCTAGAAAGCTCAGCTTTGAATATACCGTATGCTCTTCTTACATTTTTTTAGGTACACGATAGATCGACTTAAACAACGTACCCGGATTTAGTTGATTTTATTTTGTGCAACCACTTGATGAAATAAATTAGACTAAATTTAAAAGAATAAAAATCAGTGGACTAGAGTGGAAGCATGAGGAATCTACGAGGTCGTCTTCTGGCGCTTTGTGGTTGTGTAGAATTACGCTGGCGGTCTGCCGCCAAGATGGGATGGAGCGGCTCCTTTTCTCCCTTCTAGCTTTACTCCGCATTTCCACATGCCGGGGTTCGACCCTTACTGCTGCTGCTAAACGTGATGTCCATTGTTCATGGTTTTCAAGTCAGACAAAATATTTCTCTGTAATTTGGATCATCATTTCAATATCTACTCAGAATTTTTTTTTTTTTTTTTTTGCATTTACTGAATTTGATTTTGTCAAGTGATTTCACAAAATAAAATCATCTGGATCCAAAGACCGTCTTTAAATGTATACGATTTCTTTTTTCTAGCAGTTTCTAGAAAGCTCAGCTTTGAATATACCGTATGCTCTTCTTACATTTTTTTAGGTACACGATAGATCGACTTAAACAACGTACCCGGATTTAGTTGATTTTATTTTGTGCAACCACTTGATGAAATAAATTAGACTAAATTTAAAAGAATAAAAATCAGTGGACTAGAGTCAGTTTTTTTTTTTTTTTTTTTTTTTTTAATAGACCTGATATCTACTTAAAAATGTATCTGGATCCAGTTGGTTTTGTTTTGTGCAGCCAATTGCCGAAATAAAATTGAGTCAGTTCAACAAAAATATTACAGACATATTTTTAAAGTAGCTATCTAGTCGACTTAAAAATGTATCTGGATCCAGCTGATTTTATTTTGTCCCACCACTTGACCAAATGAAATTGGGTAAATTCAACCCAGCTTTTTTTTCATTCCGCGTGACCATTTTATTTAGTCCTTGGTGGACTTTTGACTGATTTCGAATAACAACCCTGTGCACAATTGATATTTTTCTTTTTCTTTTTTTTTTTAACCTTTTTTTGTGCAGTC